ATTGGTGGCCCAAACGCCTAATCGCCTGAATCGTGAACCTCTGGACAATACCTTAAAGAAGCTATCAGGCTGAATGATACAAAATCCTCGTTCTAAGAATGATCTTCACCTAATGATACTAAGTACAGGTGCACAACATTTCAGTTTACCCATCAGCGTAATCGCACTCGGTTGTACTCTCATACCGTGCACCCAGGATATAAATACCGTACAACGAATTCAAACCCCAGACGTTCGAGTACAGGCTCAACTGGGCAAGGCACATCGAGAAAATATCAGTTTGCAGTAATCGGTGCTCATGGCCTTGGAGGAATCGGGAGGGAACATCCGAAACAGGACCGATGGACTAGCATTTAACCCAGGAGAAGAGAGAAATGGCTAGACAGAACGCAAACTGCTCATATCCTCCCCCAGATTCCTTCCCCTCTCTAAGGCTTAGACCCAAGTATTTTATGTGGCTCACTCACCCCCGCAACTCACCCTCCCCCCCACTCCCACCCCCTACGACGTGAGCGATTAGTTATCTCATGTTTAGGGTTACACAGTACATCAGGGCATGGACAACATGAAACTAGTGGCATTGGCGCCAATTGGATGCACCTGTTGAGGAAACCTCTCCCTATAGATCGTGGATGTTAATCACCAAAATTCCCAAATTGATGATTTTCAGAAGAATTTTGCAACGGCTTTACCTCTTTCTTCTGTACTGCGCTGTTAGCAGGTCCATGTAAACAGCTTATGGTAGTAGCTTTCTGGGTGAAACGTCAGGACTACAGCGCAATGGAGTATAAAAGACACTGAAATAGCTGATTCCGTGACCGGAGAAGGGCGAGCCTGTTCAGAAAGATGGCTGACTTACCACTAAATAACCGTAGATTCGATCGGTAACCTGGCAACATGCTGATAAAATGAACCACCTCCGATTTTGAATCTCGTCATGATATCTAAGCTTACAAGCCTTATCCACAACAAAACTGCTCTCGAGCTTTAGCCGTAAAAATGAATCCAACAAATACGTCCCCCGCGTTCGCAAAATCGCTGTTCAATATTTGCATAATTAGTCACCCACCCTTAGGCCCTCCGGCCGGGGCGGAGTGAGGCATAGTCAGCCAATCAGAGACGTCCTGCCTTATCTACGTGGGTAGCCACGCCTCATTCTGATTTAGTCGGCCTTGCACCGCCAGTTCAACTTATCCCTCCAAGATGTGGCCGTTAAGTCCTGTTTCCGCGCAGTTAAAAGATTTTCCCTAAAACAAGTACCTTTCAAAACCTGTGCAGGACCACACCATAACTTTACGGTATATAGTA